TTTTCTTTTTCTCCTGATCCCTGCGGTTGTGACCCATCGCCTCGTTTGAGTCCTCTCCATCTCCTGGTTAACAAAGTGAAAATTATTAGCTTGATAGCGCGTGAAATGTCAATACCGCAATGCCATTATGGACAACAACAACAACAGCAAACCCCGTGCACACCTGTATATATATATTACTGGTAAGAACGAAGTGAACCAGCCTACAATAGATTATATCGTCCGTCCGTCCGATGTCCGATTAGGTGTAGCAACATCGCCCCCTACTGCAAACACTTGGCAGGACCCTACAAAAACCTTTAGACTAAGTGAGGCCTTCCTGGCTAAACAAGTGTAACATTCCCTTATAATTCTCTGAGATAGTTTTTAATTAAAACATTTAAATAAAAAAATAACTCACAGCGGCCTAAAGCCTACAGCTAGGCCTAAAGCCTAGAACTAGGCCTCAAACTCTCCCTTCGTATCGTACCCCCGCCATTTCATTTTATTATAGCCATTCATTTGTTCGTTCCTACCAGCCCACCCCGCAGGGACCTGTTAAAAAGCATGCTATCTATACACACATTGCACATACAACATTGGCACGTGTCCCGTCCATCTGTCACGTCCCAAACGGTGCATCGGAGAAAACAAGAAAGTTCAGAATCAGAATCAGAAAGGGTTTTATTCGCCATGAAAGTTCGCACAGACGAGGAATTTACCTTGGCCGGAAGGTGCATGCATTCAACATATAGGAATCTTAAATCTTAAATAAGTGGTTTACAAGTCTAACTATACTAAAGGTACAAGTCTAACTAATACTAAGCAGCTAAAGTATGTAAAAATTGAATAAAATAAAATCTAAAACATACAATAGCTATAATATACGATATAACATTACAAAAATGCAAATAGGGGAACATAGTTGCAAATATGGCAGGATGTCATTGTGCAGATAGTGTGTTAAAGTCAGTTTGAGTGTTAAAGTCAGTTTGAGCGTTAAAGTCAGTTTGAGCGTTAAAGTCAGTTTGAGCGTTAAAGTCAGTTTGAGCGTTAAAGTCAGTTTGAGCGTTAAAGTCAGTTTGAGCGTTAAAGTCAGTTTGAGCCCCTCTTCGCCAAAGACGCTCCCGGAAGGTCGCGTCGAAGTGCTGTGCACATACACACAGGCAATGCGCTACACTACGTGCTACACTACACCGTGCCTTCTGAAGCAAAGTGGGGTACGTGGAGGAGCGGGGGGAGGGAGGGGGGGAAGAGGACTCACGCAGGCAACGTGGAGTCGTGGCGTTCCATTGACCGCGGCGCGTGCAGACGTTCCTTGGCGAGCCGTGGAGACGAAATCCGTCGAGGCAGCGATACTCAACGATCGCTCCCGCCACGGGCTTTCCCCCGGGGCTGTGCAGCTGTGCCCGGCCGTGTTTCAGCACCAGGCCGCTGTCCGAACACCGCTCCACTGACACCGACCAGCAGGTCCGAGTGGGGTGGCGAGGGGGGGGGGGAGGAGATGGTGGTGGAGAGGCATGATGACTTTCTCTGGCTGTTGCCGACTGGAGCTGGATTTCTCACAAAGCACGAGGCGAGGGTAACCCCGATACTGATTTGTTGTTGTGTCACGGGGATCTTTTTTTTGTGGCCAGTATCAAAGGATGAAAAATAAGAATAGGTTTTAGCCTCTCTGGCAGAATCGGTTTTAAAGACACTGCGTATATTGTAAGAGCATGTTTTGTTTGAATGTTCACCACAAGTACGTGTGGTAAATGCAGATTTGAGTCCTCGTAAAAAGCTATCTATTAGGCGTTTTGACATTTTAACAGCTCCTGTTTATTGCCAGAAAGGGTATTATTATAATACATTTTCAGAGCTTGTTATGTGTTTAGTTCGGTGGTTCTTCGCACTTACTGCAGCCTTGCAACCCATTGGTTCTCAATTGTTAAAATAATGTATGACGTCAATAAATACATCGCTTTGATGAAACAAAGTAAGTTGTGCTGACGTGTCCGTGCTTCGTGTTTTTGATGATTTACCTTCTAAAAATATAATTCTGGCCACGTCTCGCACCTCCAGACAGAGCATCTCGCATCCCCAGACAGGGCATCTCACACACCCCAGAGAGGACATCTCACACCCCCAGACAGGGCATCTCGCACCCCCAGAGAGGGCATCTCACACCCCCAGACAGGGCATCTCACACCCCCAGAGAGGACATCTCACACCCCCAGACAGGGCATCTCACACACCCCAGAGAGGGCATCTCACACCCCCAGAGAGGACATCTCACACCCCCAGAGAGGGCATCTCACACCCCCAGAGAGGGCATCTCACACACCCCAGAGAGGACATCTCACACCCCCAGACAGGGCATCTCGCACCCCCAGACAGGGCATCTCACACCCCCAGACAGGGCATCTCACACCCCCAGAGAGGACATCTCACACCCCCAGACAGAGCATCTCTCACCCCCAGACAGGGCATCTCTCACCCCCAGAGAGGGCATCTATCACCCACAGGGAGGGCATCTCACACCCCCAGAGAGGGCATCTCACACCCCCAGACAGAGCATCTCTCACCCCCAGACAGGGCATCTCTCACCCCCAGAGAGGGCATCTATCACCCACAGACAGGGCATCTCACACCCCCAGAGAGGGCATCTCACACCCCCAGACAGAGCATCTCTCACCCCCAGACAGGGCATCTCACACCCCCAGAGAGGGCATCTCTCACCCCCAGAAAGGGAATCTCACACCCCCAGAGAGGGCATCTCTCACTCCCAGAGAGGGCATTTCACACTCCCAGAGAGGGCATCTCACACCCCCAGAGAGGGCATTTCACACCCCCAGAGAGGGCATCTCTCACCCCCAGAGAGGGCATCTCACACCCCCAGACAGGGCATCTCACACCCCCAGAGAGGGCATCTCTCACCCCAGAGAGGGCATCTCACACCCCCAGAGAGGGCATCTCACACCCCCAGAGAGGGCATCTCTCACCCCCAGAGAGGGCATCTCACACCCCCAGAGAGGGCATTTCACACCCCCAGAGAGGGCATCTCTCACCCCCAGAGAGGGCATCTCACACCCCCAGACAGGGCATCTCACACCCCCAGAGAGGGCATCTCTCACCCCCAGAGAGGGCATCTCACACCCCCAGAGAGGGCATCTCACACCTCCAGACAGGGCATCTCTCACCCCCAGAGAGGGCATCTCACACCCCCAGAGAGGGCATCTCACACCCCCAGACAGGGCATCTCTCACCCCCAGAGAGGGCATCTCTCACCCCCAGAGAGGGCATCTCACACCCCCAGAGAGGGCATTTCACACCCCCAGAGAGGGCATCTCTCACCCCCAGAGAGGGCATCTCACACCCCCAGACAGGGCATCTCTCACCCCCAGAGAGGGCATCTCTCACCCCCAGAAAGGGCATCTCACACCCCCAGAGAGGGCGTCTCACACCCCCAGAGAGGGCATCTCTCACCCCCAGAGAGGGCATCTCACACCCCCAGAGAGGGCATCTCTCACCCCCAGAAAGGGCATCTCACACCCCCAGAGAGGGCGTCTCACACCCCCAGAGAGGGCATCTCTCACCCCCAGAAAGGGCATCTCACACCCCCAGAGAGGGCATCTCACACCCCCAGAGAGGGCATCTCTCACCCCCAGAGAGGGCATCTCACACCCCCCAGGGTGTAGTTTGTTGTCCTCCCCCCACCCCCGCACCTCCAATCATAGCGCGGTTGGCTACGTACGGTGTGAAGGAAGTTCAACATACATTTACATATTTTTTTACATGTTCACCACAAGTACATGTGGTTAATGCAGACATGATTCCTCGCAAAAAAAGGTTTCCGTTTTGTGTTTTAACATCTTAACACAACTGTTTTATTGCCAGAAAGAGTATTTTTTAAATTTTAATTTTATTAATTAAATTTTTTTACCTACGTGACTTTATCGAAAAAACCTAAGAATATAAATATAAAGAGTAAAACCTATACTTGTAAATGTACACTGTATGTATTGTAATCGTATTATCCCTCCCCCACTCACCTGCCTGCCAAGGTAATATCAAACTAAAACGGAGTTTATTTAGTTTTTATTTTACCAGCTAAGGCCCACTGGAGCTGCCATATGGCTCTTTTCATGAGCGACCGGGCCGTCACAAATGATAGCGCGACCAGCTGACTGAACCGCGAAGTTCAAGAACAAAACAACAACAACAACAACAAAAAATCCCAATCAAGGTGACGGCAACACGCTTCATTTCATCGCTACGCCGTGTTAAAATACGCATGACGTACTTTCCGTACAACCGGTGATATTGCAGGACATTCCTCGTTTTGAGTCGACGCTGTTTCGAATATGCAAATCAACACAATAAACGTACAGTTGCATGCGGAAAAAAAAAGCAGGTGGGAATTTATGGGAGTAGACGAATTTTCTCAACCCGCATGATGTCGATTATACATGCGGTGGGGAAAAAGCCGATGGTAGAGAGAGACACACATGCACTAGTCCAAATGCTGTACTCTTTCTCCCTCTGCTGGTTGATAGTGGTAACTGCTTTCATTTCGAGGATTTAATACGATCAGAAAAATTACTGGTAGGAACCTCCTGGTTACACCAGCCCACAGGGGATTATTGTGTCCGTCGTGCAGGGAGGGGCTGGGTGGGGAGGGAGGGACTGGGTGGGGTGGGGAGGGTGGGGAGGGGCTGGGTGGGGAGGGTGGGGAGGGGCTGGGTGGGGAGGGAGGGTGCGGCTGGGTGGGGGTGGGAGGGGTGGGGCTGGGTGGGGAGAGGCTGGTCACCCCGTGGTGCCCTTAAACGTTTAACCTACTCACGCCGGCTTGTGCCCGCCCTCACAGTCAGGCATATTTCCGGAATACACCACGCCGCCGTTGACCCTGGCCATTGACCGAGCGACCCAACGTTCCTACCAGCTCCCTCCGCAGGAATGTGTTCTTTGGGCGAACAAGCGTCGTATTGGGAGAACAATACGACTCGTCGACACGTGACTTGGTGATGCTGCTGCGTTGCAGAGGCACTGTCAACAAAACAACTCGGCACGCTCGTCAATGATGCTGCCTGACACTCCCACTGAAGCACAGAAAGGGAGCGTCTTCACCAACCCTGCGTCCGTTCCTCGACTAAAACCACACCCTTATCATTACCCCAACCCCTATCACCACCCGTATCACTACATCAACCCCTATCACTACCCCTATCACTATCACTACCCCTATCACTACCCCTATCACTATCACTACCCCTATCACTACCCCAACCCCTATCACTACCCCAACCCCTATCACTACCCCTATTACTACCCCAACCCCTATCACTACCCCTATCACTACCCCAACCCCTATCACTATCACTACCCCTATCACTACCCCAACCCCTATCACTACCCCAACCCCTATCATTACCCCAACCCCTATCACTATCACTACCCCTATCACTAACCCAACCCCTATCACTACCCCAACCCCTATCACTACCCCAACCCCTATCACTAACCCAACCCCTATCACTACCCCAACCCCTATCACTACCCCAAACACTATCACTACCCCAACCCCTATCACTACCCCAACCCCCATCACTACCCCAACCCCTATCACTACCCCAACCCCTATCACTACCCCAAACACTATCACTAACCCAACCCCTATCACTACCCCAAACACTATCACTACCCCAACCCCTATCACTACCCCAACCACTATCACTACCCGTATCACTACATCAACCTCTATCACTGCCCCAACCCCTATCACTACCCCAACCCCTATCACTACCCCAACCCCTATCACTACCCCTATCACTACCACTGTCACTACCCCAACCCCTATCACTGCCCCTACCACTATCACTACCCCAACCCCTATCACTACCCCAACCCCTATCACCACCCCAACCACCCCTATAACTACCCCTACTCCTATCACTACCCCAACCCCTATCACTACCCCAACCCCTATCACTACCTCAACCCCTATCACTACCCCTATTACTACCCCAACCCCTATCACTACCCCTATCACTACCCCAACCCCTATCACTACCCCTATCACTACCCCAACCCCTATCACTACCCCAACCCCTATCACTACCCCAACCCCTATCACTAACCCAACCCCTATCACTACCCCAACCCCTATCACTACCCCAAACACTATCACTAACCCAACCCCTATCACCACCCCAACCACCCCTATAACTACCCCTACTCCTATCACTACCCCTATCACTACCCCTATCACTACCCCTATCACTACCCCAACTCCTATCACTACCCCAACCCCTAATTATAGATTTGAAGTTTATTCTACCCCAACCCCTATCACTACCTCGACTCCTATCATTACCACTATCACTACCCCAGCCCCTTTCATCACCCCTATCACCAACCCTATCACTACCCCTATCACTATAACTACCCTAGCCCCTTCTTAACCTCTCCCTCCTGCCCTCCTAACAGCCCGCTCTTAATTGTAACCACTATCATCTCACGTACAATTTTATAATTGTAAGTAAAGTGCCTTGGATGAAGGCGCTTCAGTATATATTAATCTATATAAGATGAGGTATAGGCGACGTTTCGAGCAGTGACCCTTGAAAGCCCCGAATTATACATTATTTTCCCCTTATAAGGCGACACCGTTGAGTTTATACTATTTTGTTATTTCGTTAAAGTCAAGTAGGTGAAAAAAATAAAAAAAATAAAAAAAATCACGACGTTTCAGAAGCAGGTAGGACAGCCACAGCAAATTATTACATTATTATTTTTTATTTTCACCTACGTGACTTTACCGAAAGAACCAAAGAGTATATGGATCCTTGCAGTCACCAAAACTTCAAATCTAGCGTTGAGTTTGTTTCCACCTAACGACTTGGCCAAGGCGCGCGCGAGACCGTTACCAAATATCACTGCTAGAGGGCGCACGATGGCCAAAACGTTCCGGTTCAGTGACAACAACGTAGTGTGGTAGAGTTGTACCCCGGTGTACGGCGGGAGAAGGGAGGGGGGGCGTTCCTGAAATGTGCGACGACGGATATCGAAACGACGTACAGGGTAGAAGTAGTAGTCGTAGTAGCGGGTAGTGGTGGTGGTGGTGGTGAAGGCTGAGAGCGCCACGGATATCGAAACGACGTACAGGGTAGTAGTAATAGCGGGTAGTGGTGGTGAAGGCTGAGAGCGCCACGGATATCGAAACGACGTACAGGGTAGTAGTAGTCGTAGTAGCGGGTAGTGGTGGTGAAGGCTGAGAGGGCCACTGCTATCGAAACGATATCAGTGGCCGAAGCGCTCTATGAAATACAAATCGAGGGCGTGGCTATGCACGACAGACAGACAAATAATCCCTGGTGGGCAGTGTGGAACTGTTGTTCCTACCTTTAAAAGAGCTTTACAGCTAATCGGATTCCTCCTGCCCCCGCACAACCACAGCGTGCGGCGGCCCCCAACAGACTGGTCAAGTAAATCCTTTACTTGACCGAAAGAACGAGAGAGCATGGATTCCTGAAGTCACGAAAGCTTCAAATCAAGATCCCCCGTAGAGTTTAACACGTTGTAGGGCTTTCGCGAGCAATATCATACATAATACAGGATTTTTATTTGGGTTAGATCGCGTTAATATAAATGTGTCGTTAAACCCGCCACCACCCGACACAGCCAATTAGTAAGATTTGTCACGTAAACAGAACGTGGCCAATTAGTCACTAGTACAGCACACCGGTGTGTTGGAGAGCAAATCCACAACATTTACAATCTGGTTATTGTAAATGTTGTGCGTTTCATCTCTAACACACTGTACTAGTAACGAATTGGCATATTCCGTTAACGTGACAAATCTTACTAATGGGCTGTGTTGGGTGGTGGCAGGTTTAACGACACATTTATATTTACGCGATCTAACCCGAAAAAAACCTGCATTATGGATCCCCCGTATAGCCTTCACAGACTGGAGGGGCAAGTGCTGTTATCGAGCATCTATGAAGGCCGCAACGACATACGAGGGGGTGGGTGGCCAGCACCACGCCGCACCAGGTACTCATTTGATGCTGAGTCGACCTAGAGAAGGCCCAGGACCGGTTTAGATAATTGTCACTGGGTGTTGGTGGCCGTGAGCGGAAATCGAACTGGGATCGCCGGGTTCGCAGCGCGGCGCGCTAACCGCTACACCACCGCTCCTCCCACACACAAAGACACACACACACACACAGACGCACACAAAGACACACACAGACACACAGACAGACACACACACACACAGACACACACACAGACACACACACAGACAGACACACACACACAAAAACATACACAGACACACACAGACACACACACGCACACAGACACACACACACACTGACACACACACACGCACACAGACACACACGCACACACAACTTACAGCACTTGGTCTTCGCGTTCTCGTTGGACCACGTGCCGTTGTGCTCGCACCGTCGCACGCGGGGTCCCACGAGCTCGCGGTCGCCCCGGCACACGTACTCGATCTCGTAGTAGTGCGGCAGCACGGTCAGCTGTTGCACCAGCTGATTGGTCATGCCGGGGTAGCGAATGCCGGCCTCCACGGGCGGCTGCAGCTTCTTGCAGCCCACTGCTGAGACAAAAGAGAGGCGTCGTTTTGCACGTCGCGCCGGCTACTCGTTTGAGGCTGAGTCGACCTAGGCGAGGCAATTGAACGGTTCGGATTATAATCATTGTTAAACTGGTGTCGGGCCCCGGTGTTTTTTTGTGCAATATTTTGCCGTCTTTTCTTGGATTTTCTGTTTGCACTCGGTCACATATTCACTTTAAGATGTTTTTTGTTCATGTTTTTTGTTTGTTGCGGTTGCACCCGATTCAAGAGCCGAATGGCTCACAGGGCTCTATACCTAATAAATGAACTTGAACTTGAGCGGGAATCGAACTCGGGTGGACAAACACACACATACACACACGCCACACGCCCTTTTTCCACTGGCACATCCAGACCGAGCCAGCGCAGGGCCATCACGGCACGGGAGTTGGGTTTGGGGGTTTCCACTGGCACGTCCGGACCGAGCCAGCGCAGGGCAATCACGGCACGGGTGTTGGGGGGGGGGGAGGTTTCCACTGGCACGTCCGGACCGAGCCAGCGTAGGGCCATCACGGCACGGGAGTTGGGGGGGGGGGGTTTCCACTGGCACGTCCGGACCGAGCCAGCGCAGGGCAATCACGGCACGGGTGTTGGGGGGGGGGGGGAGGTTTCCACTGGCACGTCCGGACCGAGCCAGCGTAGGGCCATCACGGCACGGGAGTTGGGGGGGGGGGGGTTCCACTGGCACGTCCGGACCGAGCCAGCGCAGGGCCATCACGGCACGGGTGTTGGGTTTGGTGGGGGAGGGTTTCCACTGGCTGTTTGCCAAGCCGAGCCGGGATGAAACCGGGCCCACGGTAACGGCGGCCACACCGAACGTCCGAATGTGGCTCGAGGGAAACAAAGCAGGGTCAGGCGCGGGGCTCACGACGTGTGCATTGTGCGTGTGTATGCATACATACATACACGCTACAAAGTATGACCTGTGTTTTGATTTAGTGTGCTGATCTTAAAGGTGCATTGAAAAATTACAATACTCCTATTGATGCTCCTGCTGCTGTTGTGGAGTGGCTCATGCAGCCAGCTATGGCTGCAAGGTTTTGGTAGTACATGTTTATGCCATTTATTGTGAAAATTCCGTCACAGTTCCTATGATTGATTTTCATTGCTTTCATGGCTTTATTTTGGTGATTTCGAAAAGTGTATTGGTTTAGCCATGTTTGTTTGTTGTAGTACAGAGTTAGACTGATGGCCTTAATCTAAGTTGTCTTATGGTTGTTGTTGTTGTTGTTTGACTTGCATCCCACTGGGATTTTTGCACACAGCGTTGGTGTACGGTGTTTTTTTCTGCAATATTTTGCTGTCTTTTCTTGGATTTTCTGTTTGCATTTAGTCACATATTCACTTTAAGATGTTTTTTGTTCATGTTTTTTGTTTGTTGCGGTTTCCCCCCATTTAAGTGCCGAATGGCTCACAGGGCTATACCTAATCAATGAACTTGATGTTTAACTTCTTTCGCACCGCACGTCGCCAAACGCGCTAACGGGAGGTGCGGGGGAAGGACAACAAACAGGTGGACTTCTTCACAAATCTGGCTGTCGCCTGATGAAGCCGGTTGTAATTACTGGCGAAACGTCGTACTCAGATTGTAAATGTTGTGGCTTGGCTCTACAACACACCGGTTAGTGCTGTACTAGTATACTACACTATACACTACTATACACTACACTATAAACTACACTATACACTACACTATACACTACTATACACTACACTATACACTACACTATACACTACTATACACTACACTATACACTACTATACACTACAATACACCACACTATACACTACACTACACACTACAATACTATATACTACACTATACACTACACTATACACTACACTATGCACTACACTATACACTACACTATACACTACTATACACTACACTATATACTACTATACACTATACACTACACTATACACTACACTACACACTAGTGCTGTACTAGTGACGAATTGCCCACGTTCTGTTTACGTGACAACCCTTACTAGTCGGCTGTGTCGGGTGGTGGCGGGTTTAACGACACATTTATATATTTACGTGATCTAACCCAAAATAAACCTCTATTATGGATGATATTGCTCGCTAAAGCCCTACTAGGTGTTAACCAAGATAAAGTTGTGGGGGGGGTGGGGAGTGGAAGACAAAACGCGTGCGCGTGTGGTGTGAACATTCATTTGCGTCGACCGATCCAGCGCTCACCATTTTTTGCCAAGCACGAGTGTGCGCCCACGAGTATGACGACGAGCACTCGAACGATGTCCATTGCGCTTCCTGAGAGGAGGAGAACAAGAAAAAAATGGGGAAAGAGAAGGGCATTTCATGACATGTCATGCTCCACAATAGGCAGGCGACGGTGGGCAACAACAGCAACACATTTGTCGATTTAAAGCTTTCGTGACTGCAGGGATTCATCGCAAGCAGCCGTCCTCACCTGAGGACGGCTGCTTGCGTTGTGGCCGAAACGTCGTGAGAATTATTTTATTATGTTTTGTTTTTATTATTTTATTACTTCCCTTCTACGTGACTTTACCGAAACAGCAACACAAGCAAATCATAATCAGGTGCGAAATCCACAGCAAGAAAATTTGAAAATTTGAAAATGTTCTTGCTGTGAATTTCACACCTTGCTTGTGTTGCAGTCGAAACGTCGTGAGCATTTTATTGTTTAATATTTTTATTATTTTATTATTTCCCTTCTACGTGACTTTACCGAAAGAACCAAGAATATGAATCCCTGCAGTCACGAAAGCTTTAAATCAAAACCAAAGAGTATGTTGAGTTTAGTTTGAGTATTAAGCTTCTCTGGGAGTTCGGAAGGAGTTTAGGTTTGTCATTAGCCGGGTCGTGTTTCTGCGCACGACGCGAGATCCACGGTGGCTTCACCCCCTGCCGTGGTTAACCCACAAACAACACCCGGGCAGGGTGTTGGCAAGATATTCTTAGGTTTTTTCGGTAAAGTCACGTAGGTAAAAAAATATAATTAATAAAAGTAAAATAAAAAAAAATAAAAAATGTATTTAATTTTTATTTTACACGTAGGTAAAATAAAATAAAATGAATAAAAGTAAAATAAAAATAAAATAAATTTATTTTTTATTTTTATTTTAATAAAATTAATAAAAGTAAAATAAAAAAATGCTTATTTTATTTTTATTTTACTTTTATTCATTTTATTTTTTTACCTACGTGACTTTACCGAAAAAAACCTAAGAATATGAATCCTTGCAGTCACGAAAGCTTCAAATCTAGAAGTGTTGGCAAGAGTCGCTACCGTTGAAATCACACACACACACGCGTGTGTAAGGGGCCGTCCATAAATGACGTCACGCGATTTTAGACAATTTTTGACCCCCCCTCCCCCCTCGTCACACGGCGTCACAAAAGGTCAGACCCCCCCCTCAAATATGACGTCACAAAGCTCTGCCCCCCCCCCTCAAAACCATATTTCCATTTTGAAAATAAAAAATGCTTCAAAATCGCTTTAAACTATTGTCATTGTAGTCCGTATTTAATGTACCGCTGCACTCTGATGTTGTAGGAGTGTTGTTATAACAATTCTATATTTATTTAAAGTTGCGCATTTTGATGTGACGTCACATTTCTCACCCCCCCCCCTCCCTCGTCACACATCGTCACAAAAATCTGACCCCCGCCCCAGGTGCGTGACGTCATTTATGGACGGCCCCTAAAAGATTTTTGTTGCTGAGAACAACAACAACAAGAGAGGAGGCATCGTTTTTCCACTTGTCGGCGTGCTGCGTAAGTCGGAGGCAGGTGTCAGTGTGGCAGGTGGTGCCGAAACAAAGACAAAGATCCCCCGTGTAGCCTTAACGGATCGGGGCAAGTGCTGTTCGCGATCAGCACCTATGAAGGCCGGCACGGCACACGCGGGAGTGGGTGACCAGCACCACGCCCGGCCGCCTTTGTCTCCCCATTGGCGATGTTTTTACACACCGCACCAGGTACTCATTTGAGGCCGAGTCGACCTAGGGGGAGGGCCCTGGATCCGGTTGCAGATATCGCAGCGCGCTAACTGCTACACCGCCGCTCTACACTAGGGGGCGCCATATACACGCAAATACACACAGATACACACACACACACAGATACACACACACAGAAACACACACACAGATACACTAACAGATACACACACACAGCAACACACACACATACACACACAGAAACACACACACAGATATACACACAGATACACGCAGATGAAGACACAGACACACACAGGCGTACACACAGAGATACACAAACACACACACAGATATACAGATGCATACACGTAGACACACACACAGGTACATACACAGAGATGCATACACACACGTACACACAGATGCACAGATGCATACACGTAGAGACACACATAGATACATACACATAGATACATATACACCTACACACACAGATACGCACACATACATACACACAGATACATACACACAGATACATACACACAGATACATACACACACACACACGTACACACAAAGATACAGACACACGCATATACACATACACAGATACACGGAGATGTAGACACGAAGATACACACACACACACGGAGATACAGAGACACACACACAGTTACATACACATATAGAGATACACTTATACAGAAAGATAAAGACACATAGATACATACAAAAAGTACTAAGATAAAGACACATAGATACATACTAAGCGGGAATCGAACCCGGCCACCTTTGTTTCCCCATTGGCGATGTTTACATACCGCACCAGGTACTCATTTGAGCCTGAGTCGACCTAGGGGAGGCCCAAGACCGGTTGAGATTATCGTCACTGAGTGTTGGCCGTGGGCGGGAATCTAACCCGGGTCGCCGGGTTTAGTAGTGCAGCATAGCGCTAACCGCTACACCACCGCTCCCCGCTACAGAAATACATACAGACACACACACACAGATGCATACACGTAGAGACACACACACACGTAAAGACACATGCACATACATACACAGATACAACATAATGTACCGTGTGCACACGCTGGCCCAGATGTCTTGTGACCCCAAATTAATTGAGCCCTAACATTTGTCGCCCTTTGCATACTCATTTCTGTTTTAAATAAATCTACCTTTTATATATCTAAAAAAAAAATCCATATTAAGTTTTAGAGATTCATCTTCTTGGTTCTTTCGGTAAAGTCACGTAGAAGGGAAGTAATAAAATAATAAAAAACATAACATAATAAAATAATTATTTTATTATGTTTTTATTCATCTTCTTGGTTCTTTCGGTAAAGCCACATAGAAGGGAAGTAATAAAATAATAAAAGAAAACATAATAAAATAATTATTTTATTATGTTTTTATTCATCTTTTTGGTTCTTTCGGTAAAGTCACGTAGAAGGGAAGTAATAAAATAATAAAAATAAAACATAATAAAATAATTATTTTCGGTAAAGTCACGTAGAAGGGAAGTAATAAAATATAATAAAATAATAATAAAAATAAAACATAATAAAATAATTATTTTATAATGTTTTATTTTTATTTATTTTTATTATTTTATTATTTCCCTTCTACGTGACTTTACCGAAAGAACCAAGAAGATGAATCCCTGCAGTCACGAAAGAAGCTTTAAATCGAAAAGTTTTAGAGAATTAAATGGGAGTCACGAGACATCTGGACACAGCCGTCACCGCGTGTGCCGGTCGGCAGGCAGCCGTGGCCTCGTTGCGGTGTGTGGATGGGTGACCGTGTGCTCCACGACACGGGGATCTCACTTCGTGGGGCCCCCTTTTCAGACCCCCTCGCTGTCTGGACGAGGGTGCAACACTTTCAGGGACAAGCGCAGAAGACTTCGACAGAGCGACGGACGCGACGATTTCCGAACGGAATTCAACGGTGAACGAAAATTCGGATTGCCGCTCCACATCTCGCTTTTGTTCAACGTTCGCGCGAACGTATGTTTGACGTTGGCTACGCAAGGCCACAACACACGAGAGAGATGCATTTATGCCTCGCAACAACAACAACGACGACAACGCGGAAAGCCAAACAGATGAAGAGTCAACATCCCGAGGCAACGCGATTGAAGAGCTGTTTGAAATGCGTTAATGGCGTTCGCGTCTTCTCCTTCGCCAGAGGAAGCCTCGCATAGTCTTGACACAGTCTGTGAGGGGATATTTGTTGAGGCGCCGTGTTTATTATAAGCTCAGCCCACTTTTCACCCAACAGGAGAACACAGACCGAGTAGTTATCAAACCCAACATGAAGACTAACAGTAACGTCATTGGAACCTCATTTGCCAGTAAAAAGATATGATAATTGGTTTTTTACCCTTCTATCTGGCAACAAAACTGACACCTTTTTTACAAGGAGTCATGTTTACATAGACCACAATACCTGCAGTCATAATGCGAACAAAAAACATAACTCTGATAATGTATGCACTGTCCTTGGAGTTGATTGGTCCACACCCGAGACAGCTTTCCTTAGAGCCTAGTCTCACATGGGTTGGACCAGATGACGCCAAAAGGCGCACAACTCAAAGACAATGCACCATCAGAGTATGAGAGCTCGGGGAAGCATTTACACTATTGGAACCTCATTTGCCAGTGAAAAAATAATATGATAATCAGTTTTGTTGCCAGATAGAAGGGTAAAAAACCAATTATCATAACAGTAACGTGTTTAAGAATCACAGGGAGGTGAAAGGTGGTGAGGTGTGGGTGTCACGGTGGCTAGGAGATGTTAACTACCTCGCCTGGTATACAGGAGGTCGTGAGTTCGATACTGACCCTCACACCTGCTGCTGTATATTCGGAGTTTGCGTGTCTCTCTCTCATCATCATCATCATCACGGTGGCGAGGAGATGTTAACAACCTCGCCTGGTATACAGGAGGTCGTTGGTTCGATCCTGACCCTGACGCCTACTGCTGTGTATTTGGAGTTTGTGTGTCTCTCTCTCATCATCATCACGGTGGCTAGAGATGTTAACAACCTCGCCTGGTATACAGGAGGTCGTGAGTTCGATCCTGACCCTCACGCCTGCTGCTGTACATTCGAAGTTTGCGTGTCTCTCTCTCTCATCATCATCACGGTGGCTAGGAGATGTTAACAACCTCGCCTGGTCTACAGGAGGTCGTGAGTTCGATACTGACCCTCACGCCTGCTGCTGTACATTCGAAGTTTGCGTGTCTCTCTCTCTCTCCCTGTGGTCGCGTGGATTTTTCTCCGGGTCCTCCGGGTTTTCCCCCAGCCACATTTATAAGAATCAACATCGCCACGCGTTTG